TATATATATATATATATATATATATATATATATATATATATATATATATATATATATATATATATATATATATATATATATATATATATATATATGAATATATATATACATATTGTTTGGGTATTATTTGGGAGTTGATTAATCAGTCTTTCGTTATTAAATAGGATTGGGTTTACAGGTCTGAATATTATAAGATACAGACCCAACACAACTTGTTATTAAATACAGCAATGTATCCACGCCAATTTTGACACCGGTATTCTGGTATGGGCCCCTAAATATCAGCCCAAACTCAATTTAAAATAATTTTGTATTAGCATTTGTTATGATATAAATGTCGCTTAGAAAAACCAACTTTTGAAAAACGACTTTTAAAATACATTATAAATGTATTTTAAGCCAACCAGAATGCTTAATTCGAATTCACGTTGATGAAATATAGAATATGCTGTAATTGGATTAAAATGTAAAACGCATGTTTTGATTGGATTAAAATATGCATCGCTTATCATTTTTAAATAACATTTTTAAAATACATTAATTTGAGTTTCTCCTCCATCTACGTTTTCATAACATAATTTCTAAAGCAATTAAACTATTTGAGCTTTAAACTTTTACATTTTATATAACAGTAAAATTAAATAAAAAAATATTTAAAATAATAAAACAAATTTTTTTAATAATAAAACAAAAGTTTTTAAAACGAAATAACAATTTAATATTCGCGCCATAAAACTTGATTTTAAAAGTAAGAGTACTAAATCTCGCATCTTATCACAGAAGTTAGGTTCTAAAGACTTTTAAAAAATCTTCAACAGCATTATTAACAAGGGTAGATCTAACATTCCATCTCTCATTCTCATTCATGGGACTGATCTTATTACCTCTCCCAAGGATAAGGCAGAACTATTTGCAAAGAACTTTTCTTCTAATTCCACTCTTGAATCTTATGGACATTCTCTTCCTTCCATTCCAGTCAAACAGGTTGACCCATTGTTAGACATTCAAATCACTCCGGCTTCTGTTGCTAAAGTCATATCTCAATTAAACTCGTCTATGGCTTGTGGTCCAGACAACATTCCTGTCACAGTCTTGCAGAGCTGTTCTCCAGAACTTTCTTCAATTCTCCCTAAATTATTTAACAAGTGTTTTACTGAGTCTTGTTTTCCTGCTTGTTGGAAAATGGCATCTGTGGTTCCAATATTCAAAAACTCTGGAGAAAATTCTGACCCCTTTAATTATTGTCTGATCAGTCTTCTTTCTGTTATTAGCAAGGTCTTTGAGTCTTTGATCAACAAATTCCTCACATCTCATCTTGAGTCAAATAAACTACTGTCAGACAATCAATACGGTTTTCGATCCTCTCGCTCTACGGCCGACTTGCTAACTGCTTTAACTGAAAGATTTTATCGTGCATTAGATGGAGGCAGTGAGGCTAGGGCTATTGCTCTCGACATATCGGTTTATTAAAGTCATCCTTGAAGGCCAACACTCTTCTTTATTTCCAGTAACTTCTGGGGTTCCCCAAGGTTCGTTCCTGGGCCCTGTTTTGTTACTTATCTACATAAACGATCTTCCTGACAACCTTTCATCTAAAGTAGCTCTTTTTGCTGATGACTCAACTTTATACTCCTGTCTTGACAAAAAGTCTTCTCTTTTTCGATCGCCTAGAACAAGCAGCTGATCTTAAATCCGATCTCACTTCAGTAAGATTGGGGTTCACAGTGACTTGTGAATTTCAACTCTAACTAAACCCAGTTGTTTACTGCAAACAACTACCGTAATATGGTCAACATTCCTATATTAATGAATGGCAATCCTCTTACTGAGTCCTCCTCTTTACGTCTTTTTGGATTATCGCTTACTACTGACCTTTCATGGAAACCATATATACAATCGATTGCTATATTAGCTTCTGCTAAGGTTGCTTCTCTTTATCGTGTTCGCGATTTCCTTACTTCTGATTCCATTCTCTACCTCTACAAATCTCTTATTCGTCCCTGTATGGAATACTGTTGTCGCAGTTTGGGCTGGTTCTTCTAACGATTCACTTTCTCTTCTTGACAAGGTCCAAAAACGCATTGAAAATGTTGTTGGCCTGGACTATCTGCTAAGCTTGAGCCTCTTTCCTGTCGTCATAAAGTTGCATCTCTTTCTCTTTTCTACAAATACTATTATGGTCACTGCTCAAAGGAGTTATCATCTCTAGTTCCATCAACTAAAATTCATTCTCGTTTTACTCGTCATTCAGCTAAGTCTCATTCGTTTACTGCATCTGTCCCTGCATGCTCTGTCCTTTTTTTTCCTAGTAACTCCTAACTTAATAGTGGTTAGGCTTGCAGCCTTGTTGGGAATGAATGCAAATAAAAAAAAATAAAAATAAAAAAAAAAATAAAAAAAAGAGTAGAACTAGAAAAAAAAAGTTATTAACTTTTGAATGAAGTAATTAAAATTTCGAATGAATTGACCTTGTTATGCAATAAATACGCTACCTAATAAAATCTTTTCCAGTCTATATAAAAGAGACATACAAATATTATTTATTAAACGTTATAGTTATTGCTTGTTTATGAAATCATATTCTTTATATTTATAATTAATAATATTTAATATTTTTAATTTAATAATTTAATTTAATAACTTTAATTTAATATTTAGTATTAATTATAATTTATAATTAGTAAGCCAATAGAGCAAGTAAATGAAAATTAGCGATTAGCGAAGAATCGATGTTGGAGTTATATCCGCCATTCTGAAATAAATGTAACATTATTTTGGTTAATTATTTAAATTTTAATTAGAAATAGTTAAAATAATAGAGCAAGCTATATATCATATACAAATAATTATATTTAAAAAGGTCCTCCAAGGTAGACGGAATTTATAGACTGGTATGCCCAAAAAATTTCTGGATACGTCACTGAGATATGTGTCCCAGTCTGCAGAAATTCAGGTTAAAAAGTAAGTATAGACCTCCAACTAGTAAGCAACTGAGGTTGATATTTGACTGGGGCCAGGGCCAGGTTTGATAAAATATAGCCGGGACTAGTTTGGGACCAGAACTGCATAAATATTTATACATCCTAAAGTATATTTTTTTATTCAAAATTCATGTTATATTTTGTATATATATGCATGTATAAACATCATTATGATCATCATAATCATCATTATCATCATCATCATCATCATAATCATCATCATCATCATCATCATCATCATCATCATCATCATCATCATCATCATCATTATCATCACCATCAGGGTTTAGCCTTCCTCTTTTATGCTGTTTCTCTAATACAAACAATCTAGAGCATTTTCTCTTCTTAAATAAAGATCATTTATACAATATGTAAGGCACTCTATTCAAGTTTTCTTACTTCTACCACTATCATTTTCTTCTGAAGCTCTCTACATGCTAATACCTAAATCACTTTAATTTTTTCTAACAAGTATTCTTCAATACAATATTTTTTTCTAATCTGTCTAAGATTATGCCTATTTTTCTCGTCTTGCTAAAGTTACACCACACATCCATCTGACCATTTTCTTATTATATGCCCTTTTATTATTCCAAGAAGCCAATGTAAAAAGGTCATGCCTGATGTTAAGCTCTGTTATTCTCAGTTTACCAAGTCTTTTATCCTATCTCAGATGTTAGGTTCTAGAGACTTAGTCTTCAATAGTTTCATTATCTAAAATAAATCTAATATTTAATCTCTAATTCATAGGTCTGATCTTTTTACTTCTCCCCAGAATAAAGCAGAGTTATTTGAAAAGAAATCTTACTCTAGTTTGACTCATGAACCTTAAGGCCATCCTCTTCCTGCCAGTTAAACAGATTAACACATTGTTAAACATCCAAATCACTCTGGCTTCCAATGCTAAAGTTAATTCTCAATTAAACACTTCTACAGTTTGTGCTCCAGACAGTATTTTCCATCATAGTCTAAAAAAGGGTTCTCCAGAACTCTCTTTAATTTTTGCTATACTTTTAAAAAGCGCTAAATAAGTGGTTCCAATTTTTCAAAACTCTAGAAAACACTTTGACCTCTCAAACTATCCTACAATTAATATTTGCTCTGTTATATAAAGGTTTTGAAATAATTGAATTATTTCTTCCTAACTGCAGCATTAAAGTTATTCTTGAAGGCCTACACTCTTCTTTATTTCAAGTAACTTTAAGGTACGTTCTTTGCTCCTGTATTGTTTCTTATCTAAAATAACCAACAACTAAGTTTGAATATGGGTCCAGACTTAATGCAGACCACTTCCAAACTTTGCTAATTATTTGTCATTAATCCAACTTAAAGATTGTCTAAGTAGATTAAACTTTATAAAAAATGAATATTTTATTTATTTAAATAAACTAAAAGTAAATAAAATGAAATTAGCAAAAAGTAAATCAAAAGAATGATTAGCATTTTGCTAGAAAATACTTTGTTATTAGTTTTGCTGACTAAATTAAGATACCGATTAAAATAAAAATATTACAACAAGAAGTGACAAACTAATAAATTAATAAATCATAAACTAGTAAACAAATAAATCAAAATTAATATACTTTTTTAGAAACCTCCTAAGTAATAGACAAATTTTATCATACAAAATTACCTTTACTCAGGGCTATTTTTGTATTTGTCTTTAATAAAGTCAACAACAAATTATATGTTGAAAATTTTCATTAAATAAGATTGACTGCTCAGTAGTTGTAGAAGCAGTTTGTATATATGCATTAAAAACTTGGATGATTGTATCATTCTTGCAAATAGTTTAGAAAAATTTAGCTATATTTCATGAAAGAAAATATTCAGCGAAAAAAAAAAATATTTTTCAGCCAAAACAAAATTATTAACCATAACTTAAATAAAATAAACTCTCTAAAACAAAATAAGTCATTAGGAATTTCAGAGACTTTTTTTTTTGTTTTTTTTTTCAAGTTTTAAATATAATATAAAACTCTACATTTAAAAACAAAACATTATTGAGAAAATATTTACCTTTACAAATATCTCCTAATTTTTCATAGCCATCTTTACAAACACAAAGGAAATCATATCCCTTACTGATGCATCTGGAGTTTGCAGTGCAATTTAATTTGCAAGTAAAATCTAATACTTTTCCTGCAATAAAATTTGAAATTTTAAAATATATGTGTGTATATATATGTGTGTGTGCATGTGCATCAATAATTTAGAAATAATTTAGAAATAATTTAAAAATATGTATATATATATATATATATATATATATATATATATATATATATATATATATATATATATATATATATATTCTTGTTTGGTCATCTTTAATTTTGACCATAAAATGTAAACTTTATTTTTTTCAAATTAATTTATAACACTAGAAAATGTTTAGAAACTAGTATGCTCTACCTATTTGTCAGTCGATGTAGCACGTATGTTGTAACTATTTCTTAATTAATAAAGCAGCACTCCTTGAACGTTTTATCTATTTGTCACTCAAAAATTTAAAAAAGTAGAATTTAAAAAGATTAAATTCTACTTTTTTAAATTTTTAAAAAGTAGAATTTAATCTTTTTTTTATAATTTATTATTTTTTCATAAACCTTTTTTCAATCAAAGTATAAAACAAAATAAAACAACCACTAAAATACATAAAACGCGACGGGGCAGCGTCATGAAAACAGGTGAAACAAATGTGTTAATTTTTTATATTCCAAAAGTATCTCCTTTATTTAAAAATAAAAAGCTACCATGTTTACAGCATCAAAATATTCAATAATTATTGAATATAAATTATTGAATATAAATTATTGAAGATAAAATATGAGGTTTTGAGCCATTTAAATGGCTCAAAACCTCATATTTTATCTTTCCGTAAACAGTAAAAACGTTAAAATCAAAGTTTTCACATTAGTTTTCTCTCATAGCAATTTACTTTCATAATCTCTTTATAGTCGTTTGAATAAATTACCTAAAGGAAAAGTTTTAGCTTTTATATAACTGCATCCCCAAAGTAATTAGTTAAAATTTTAAACTCGTAGATTTTAAATTACCGAATATTTGTAAACAAAATAAAACAACGAGCTTCATGATTTTTTTTTAAATAAACCAATCAAAATGCACACAAAATAAAACGGCGTTTTTTGAAAACTAAAGGGCCTGAAGTAGGGTTGTTAACCGGAGGATTTCGTGCATTTCCGGAAAAACAACATTCTTTCGAAAGAAGATTGAGAACGAGGAATTACATATTTTCGTACCGAATGTGACAAAACATTTAAAATCGTCGACGTTCATTTCGCAAATGCTACTTCCGAAATTTAGCATTTCGCAAGTTGACATACGAAATAAAACTATTTTGCAACATACGAAAGTAGCGGTTTCGGAAGTCGCACTTGCGAAACAAACATTTTCGCCAAACGACGTTTTGAAGTCTATAAAAAAATTTGTTTGCCAGACTGATTTTAATTGTAAAAATTAACATCTTTAAATCTCAAAATGTTTATAATGAATTTTTATTTTCAGCATAATAACATATTAAATTTTTATGGTTTTATTTTTAGAAATATTGATAAAAAACAAAATTTCTTTCGAAACGAAAGTATTTTACATCACAACATACGAAAGAGTTCTTAACGGAAATAAACTTACGAAACGTGCCATAATAAATATAATGATGTTTTTTGAACTTATTACGTATAGTAAAAGTAAGAATGATGGGGAGGAATATACATGTTTTTTTTTTAAAGCATATGAAATTTTTGAAACAGGTTCGAATATGCTTAAGCAAAAAGTAAAAAGAGGCTCAAAAATATGCTTAAGCTTAAGCATATTTCTAATAAAATATACCTATTTCAATAATTTGTAAAAGTGAGCGCGTTACTAAAGGTTAATGGGTATAAGAAAAATAAAAAGTTGATTTATGCTCTGTAATTTTGTTTTGGTTTTAATGTAGCTGAATTAATGTTGTTATAAACTTCGGTTTTTGTTGGTTTAAATTTAGAAATATATATATTTATATATAACATTAAATATATATATATATATAATATATATATATATATATATATATATATATATATATATATATATATATATATATATATATATATATATATATATATATATATATATATATATATATATATATATATATGTATATATATATATGTATATATATAAATATATATATATATATATATATATATATATATATATATATATATATATATATATATATATATATATATATATATATATATATATTTAAAGTTTTTAAATAAATAAAAATAAAATTTTTTAAATAGTTTATCGAGGCACAGGAATATTCTTACATATGCTTATTTTCCAAATATGAGCCTATAAGCGTTATGCTTGTAAATAAAAAAAACGAGTATATACTGTAGAATTCCGTTATCTTGGTTCCTGGATAAGTAGGACTTTGGGGCTATCCATAAATAATGTCAGTAAATATAAGGGGGAGGGGGTACTAAAAAGTTTGACAAGAATTGACATTGGGGAGGGGGTGTTGAGACCAAAATGATGTCCGTTTTAAAAAAAAAACAATCTAATTCGAGCAGATTTTAAAGGTATTTACATCTACAATGTGGTATAGAAATAGCATATTTGCTTTGTGGGGAATTCGATGTAAGTTTTCTAGAGACATGATACAAATTAAAAATTTACCAACGTTTTACAATTGTGTTACAATTCGACTGAAAATCTAACTGTTTACAAATATCAACAATTTGTATATAAATTTAACAATCATTATTCGATCCCAGCGGATTTTAAAATGTGCTTTAAAACAAACACATAAATGACTTTATGTGTTTGTTTTAAACCCCACGCATTCCCTGAAAACATTTTAATCTCAGCGGAGGGGGAGGGGGATGATTAGGAATGCGTGGGGTCCTTTTCTTATATTCTTTCTTTTTCTACTCCACCTCAGCGCTGAATTCCCAGAACACATTTTAATCTCAGTGGAGGAGAAGGGGGATGATAAAGAAATATTTTGACAAATTCCCGATTTCTTTAAAACGCTGTATTAAATTTATTCCTGGTTAACACCCTGTATATATCAGGGCTGTAGGAACAAAAATTGCATTGAGGGGGCAGTACTTCCCCGAAATAGTTTGAAGAACCTTTTTTTTTTTAAATAATTTTTCAGTTAATTTCTTCAAAATTATTTATTGGACAAGGCCAAAAATAAAATAATTCACCGTCAGTAACATTGAAGATGAATATAAAATCAACACAAAATTAAATGTGGTTTCATAATGACATGGCAAATTAAGCTCTGATTTCCAAACATATATTAGGAATTATATATTTTTCTATTATAAAATAATCAGTGTATATTGATTAATTGTTATTAAGAATTATATAATTGATTTATTTTTAATCTTAATATATCGTTGCCGCTTTTATTTCAAGAGTATTCTTTTAAATGTATTCTCAAGAAGTTCTGTGAAAACATAAACTTGAACCTTCCCCAGCGGGCACAGACGTGAATCAAACGTCTTACGGACGTCTTAACTAGGTCGCGACGTCTCAGACCAAATTAGGACGTCCTAAAGACGTCTGGTAAAGACGTCTTTGTTAGGACGTCCTTGTGACGTTAATATAAACACGATATCAGGACTTGAATATTTAGACGTCCTATTGACGTCGCTAAGACCTACATAAGACGTCCTAATTACCTTAAAAATAAGTAAAAAAATTAATACTATCAACTTAGCGCATACAATATTATGCGCAAACTCGGTTATATAAATATGTCTACTTGTTTTGGTTGATTATTTTAAGACTATTATTTTGTTTAGTTATTTATCGTTTAAAGATATTTTTTAATTTTCTATATTCTATACTCTATGATCTATAAACTATAATCGATACAATATTTAAAAAAAAGAGTAACTAAGTTACAAGTATAATAAGGGAATTTTAACAAAAGACATCAAAATTGCACCAAGACTTTTCACTTTGTGTTTTATAGAATAGTATTGATATTTTTGTGTGTCTGTGTTATATATAAATTAATATATACATATTAATTTATATATATATATATATATATATATATATATATATATATATAAATATATATATAAATATATATATATATTTATATATATATATATATATATATATATATATATATATATATATATATATATATATATATATATATATATATATATATATATATATATATATATATATATATATATATATATATATATATATATATATATATATATATGCAAAGATTTGTAATATCTTGGCTGTAGAAATAGGTAAATGGATAAATAAATTGTATTTATTTTGTTGTTCCTGTGTTGTTTCATTCCATTTTATGATTTTTTCATCATCATGATGAAAAAATCATAAAATTTATACAACCCATGATGATCATGGGTTGTATAAATAATTATTAAGATTATTACGTATGTTGACACCTTGTTACTGTGTTGTTTCATTTAATTTGATGTATAATTATTTATATATACATGATTTATACATTATATTATAATGTTTATATGATGCATACATATTCATTATATACATATATATATATATATATATATATATATATATATATATATATATATATATATATATATATATATATATATATATATATATATATATATATATATATATATATATATGTATATATATATTTAATTATTTATTTATATATATACATATATATATATATATATATATATATATATATATATATATATATATATATATATATATATATATATATATATATATATATATATATATATATATATATATATATATATATATAATGAATATGCTTTTGTATGTGTGTGTATTGATAAATATCAACATTTATCACACATATTATTACACACATATTATTGATAAATATCAACATTTATACACACACATGCACAAACTTACACACACACACACACACACACACACACACACACACACACACACACACACACACAATATATATCCATTTATATATATATATATATATATATATATATATATATATATATATATATATATATATATATATATATATATATATATATATATATATATATGTATATATATATATATATATATATATATAAATATATAGAATATAT